CTGTCTTGTAAACCTCTGTACTTATAGGTGAATTGTATTAATTACAAATCGTAAACAAAGGTCTGAGAGTAATCAATGACAACCCTATTTATGGTATTAATTACGCATCGATATGCACGGCGACGCGGTACCTTACCCAAATCGTTTTTTGTAAAGCTTGTGATTTACGAATACATTTCCTATACATAAAATACGTACAACACTTTACTTACACTTTTAGCCGATTCGACCTATAAGGGTTCTCTTTGAAGCGTTTTTTGTATTCACAATTTAAGCTTAGATGATCAACGCAGGCGTCCTTTTACGCATATACGCACGTGCGTACTAGCGACAAGGAATTTTACAAAAATTACTGAAATATTCACCTAAAATTGATTCCTTTTATATGCCCTCGATTCTCTCAAAACGCTGGAAATCATATTTCCAAGAATTTATTATTTCAAAATTTCCTTGGGGAGGTCCAGACTCCCTTAATACTCCCGTCTTTGGCTGTCGTTAGGCAGATCCAAAATATGTGTTTCGGTCCCTGACATGTGCGTACAGAAAAGCCTCTTATTAACAAATCAATACAAAAGGCGGGCTTTTTATCACCTATTTTTCGTTTCGACTGGATCAATGCATGCCTTTCCGTAATAAAAGCGGATGTGACGTTTGTAGTAGTTTCCAGGTCATGCACGGTTTTAGTCCAGTCCACCGAAAGTGTACGACAATGTTAAAACGCCTGACTACTTTACGTAGCTAACCAAGCCAAAGTGGTTGCGATGGCTGTGAAGAAATGAAATTTAGTTCGTATTTTTGTCCTAAGAAAGATGATTCACATGCAGGACGGCAAAATCCAATTTTAAATGCTCTTGATTAACAGTGCAATTTGTTGTAAGTGTACTATTTGAGGGCATGTTGGCTATGAAAGAGTTTAACTCATCGATCGAGTAATCAACTGCTAAAAATCGACATGGAAATTGTTTCTGCTGGAAGGTAGGTCCATCTTCAAACTCTTTTACTCAAAAAAACTAATTTTTGGCAAGATAGATACAAATGAAACATGTTCTGGTTTAGTTTGGAGTCTATAAGTCGACCTTCAAGTACAGCAAGCGAAAAGGGAAAGAAATCCCAACTAAAGGTAAGGTAAAATACACTGTATAACCACAAAAATATAGCAACCCAGTTNCAAGGTAAGAAATACTCCATTTTCGAATTCAAAGTGAATAACCGCTGTTTTATTTGACAGCAGATTCTCTTACGCAAAAAACTTACCAAAGACAAAAGAAAGCACAAGAAAATGTTGTTAGTACAATAGCGCTAAAAATTTACATTTTCACCATGTTGAGGCTAACCCTGTATTCCCAGAAGGCTCATACCTTATGGGAATACAGGGTTATTCTCAACTCAGGGAAAATGTAAATTGTTAGCGCTATTGTAATAACGACATTTTCTCGTGCTCTCTTTTGTGTTTGGTCAGGTCTTTGCGTAAGAGAATCTGCTGTCAAATAAAGCAGCACTAGCAGCGGTTTTGCGCTATAAATTCGAAACTGGAGTATTGAGTACAGGGGACATAAAACGTAGATTCCTGGAAATCACAATTCAACAGAAGTTTAATTCATTGACTGAGGCTTTAGAGAGGATTTCGTATGAGTGGGAAACGGACGGTACTGTACTGTGACCGTAATCGTACTGTAACCAAATTCTAGTGCCCCATTGGTTCCCAAAAGTTGTGCAGGCCAGGTCCGATAACTGTGGGGTAACCGTGCGGTAATATCTACCGTACGTTTCCCACTCATACGAAATTGACACTATTTTCAAAGATATCCGGATGTCCTTGTCGTTTCCGTAGTGTTATTGTATACGATAGGCCTATGAACACGTGAAAAAGAAATAACACAGCGGTTTAGATGATATTCGAATATAAGTGAAAGAAGCCCTGGTATGAATTATTCATTGTATTCTACTGTATGGGACGGCGCTTCACTCCGCAAATAAACTACAAGAACGAGTAAAATAATTCAACCTCTGGTTCCGGGGTACTCTATGAAACGATTGTCACTAAATGTGCAAGTTTTTTTCAAGCAGGCGCCGGCTTGCGTGTATTTGCCAGTGGGACGCTACGCAAATGTTTTGTCCCGTATAGTAAAAATTAAAAGAAAACGAAAATGAATCGACGAAAAGCGAGCAATCACGAAGTTATACCGAACAACTCGCACGTACTTCCAGGATTTGGCATAGTGGCTTGAGCCTGGTTCCGAAGCACTAGCCACAAAAACTGACTGAGGTCTTGATGTGATGGCCAAGCGTGTAAGCTGTAGTGCATTTGTAAAAGCGAGGGCAGTTTGTCGCTATAAGGATCGAAACAAACAATTCAAACAATTAGTAAACAAAGTTGTATGCTTCACTTTTGTTGTTTACTGCACTGATTCAGGTTACTGTGGATCGGACAGCTCGCGAAGAACTGCACTGCGCACCAGCAAGTCAAAGCTCCCACTTCCTAGGATATCGGATCGAAAAATAAAATTAAAAAAAATAAAACTCATCGTGGAAACAAGTTAATAGGCTTATTTTTCAGTGATCTCTAATGCAGACACTTTTTGGATATGGGAAATCCTCTAAAAAAAGCATGAATTAAGGAGGCTCCATAGAGTATTACTGAAAACGGAGGTTTTCCAGATATTTTGCCTTTTTTGTACATAAGACAGCTCTCAAAATTCTATGTCTTTAATGACTAATAGTTGGAGAATAATTTTACATAAAAATATCCGGGTAGAATGTTGTCATGGAAACAGTACGACCACTACAACAAGACCCTTATTTGACATTTGAAAAATGATAATTCAGAATTGGCACGGGGAATCTTCTTGAGACTGAAATATGTTGTTTTTTGCAATATTATCAAGTTTATAAAAACTGTTTGAAAAGGATCTGCACATTAGAATTTTTAAAACAACGAAAAAAGTGTTTTTTGTGAATAAAAAAAAATCTGATGTCAAGAATCATTTTATAACTTGCAAAATGATCGATAGTGACACGAATAAAATAATATCCAAAATTGAAGAAAATCGCCCGTGGGGAATTTATATTATTGTATGTTGAAAATCAAATTTTTTAATGATATGCGCAGAAATAAAATTTCACAAGATCGGCATTTGCGCATGCGCTAGTAAAGAATGAACACGGGCTCAATGAACTCGAAGACACGCTCGAAAAAATTCGCTAAAAGAAGCCAAATTCTGCGAGTAATCGCTGGATATTTGGGGGAAACATGAGGTAAAATACGTTTTACTTCAGCTACATTTATTCTTTATTGATTGACTTGAAGTGCTGGATGATTTGGGTTAAAATACGAGTGTTTTTGGTGACTCTTGGGACTTTTCCTGACTTTGGAGGGCACGATAACACTGCAATTAAACCGGTTTCACCGAACTTTGTAAACACATTTAGAAGATCACCGTAGGACAGACCACTTCCCGCTATTTTTTCTGCCATCTGCTTCGAAATGGGCGAGTCTCTCGTGTTTTCCATGTAAAGATTCCCTTTGAAAGATTGAAGAATCTCATGCCTTCGGTCGAGGTACTTAGTATCGTCTACAACATGACTCGTGGACATCATGTTGGATGTCAATTTTTGAGGAGAAAATTGAAGAGCAGAGGAGAAAACAATTCTTCTTAAGGCTTTTACATCTTCTAATGCATCGTGGGCTTCAAAAGACTCGCCAAAGAGTTGATGGTATATGGCTGATTGAGTAGCTTTCGACATGGTTCCATCTGCCGACTTCAATGATGGATGCTCAGAGTGTATCAGATCTTTAATCAAAGGAAGTGTGTCAGTAAAAAACACATTCAATTCTGTTAGAGTCTTGGAGAAACAATCCTTTCCATGTCTTATGATGGTTGGAGCATCGAAAACCTGAGAATTGTGTCCTATCAAAACTGTGTTGACATTTCTTGACCTGCTGTTTATGTTACTTATGGTTTGTTGGATAAAAAACAAGAAATCAGAGAGTGCTTTGTCCAGTTGAACCGTTATTACTGGATTGTTATCTTTGTACAGAGTTCGACATCCATTGGTTAATCTGACAGTTAACCCATTAACTCTTGATGCTGAAGTGTCAACATCTCTTGATGGAAGTATGTAGCAGTTGAAAGTCTGGTGACCTGACTCATCTATTGCAGAAAGCTGGCATATCTCTGCTTTTTTTCCTCGTGTGTTTGTTTCAATGTCATAAATGATGAAATTGTAGTCGTAGTTTTCTTGAAAAGATAAATTAGACGGAGTTGGTCGTACAGTATACTCTGGAATTTGACTTTCAAATAATCTCAGTTGCTCATTTGATATTTTAGTATTAATTATATTGACTGCATGCACACTGGATACCTGTTTAGAATTGYTAGGATTGAGATTAAGTCCAATGTTACTCTGATAAGTGCTACCCTCCTTGGCTTCCTTTTGTGCATTAGCTTGGATTTTCTGTTTATGCATTCGGGATCTGATGAACTTGAAATTTTTAGATGATTTTCTTCTTTTGTCTTTTTTTAATTTTTCATCCATTTTTTTATTGTGGTTAATGCAGTAAAATCCAGGTTCAATGTTGAGGCTTTCCAAGGTTTGGCTTATATATTGATAGCCTAAATTTAATTGTGATATAGCGCAGGCTATTCTAAAGTCATTGCTTTCGCTTCCACCATAATATCTAATTTTGGGGTCTTTAGAGCCAACTATACCATTAAGGGATTCATTTCTTTGTGAGTTGGYTGCAGGCACTAATTTTTCCAAAACAATATCTGTGCAGTAATCATCAAAAATCCTTTGTAAAGCCTCCCTAAGTTTAAGTCCATGAAGGTCTTTTCCATATGGAAGGTCAGAATGTTTGTAGTCTTTGTCGGTCTGAGCTCTGCACCAGTTAAGGGAACAAAACACATGATCTCCAAATGCATGAGGGACAATGGCCTCCAATGACTTCTTGAGATTTGTAGGGTCTCCTTTGTTTTGTGTMACAGAGTAGCTAAAACACTTTGCCAGATAATTGATTACTTTTAAAGAGAGTACAGAACAATTTTCAAATTTGTTACGTTGACCAAGATTCATCAATCGAGTAGTTAAAGATCTTTTAGCATGTATGA